CTCACTCACTCACACACACACACACACACACACACACACACACACACACACACACACACACACACACACACGCACACACACACACACACACAAGCACACACATATAAAAACACACCCCGACGCGTAGTGCAAACAGACATTAACAACAAACAGTTCAAATTGTTGTTCGGTGATGAAGTTAACCAGTGCAATGAAGGCGAACGAAACTGTGTACATGGCTGCACTATTCACTTAGCAACGGACGCCCTCAATGAGACCGAAGAAGAGGCATTACGTCACATGAGTATAGAGCGGAATAATATGAAAACATTGACAAGCATGAAGAATGAAGCTATTGGAGAGCAACTGTTATTCACCGTGCATGATTTCAACGTCCTCATGAACGAGAACGAGTGGTTGAACGACAACATTGTGAATTTCTACATGAAAATGATTCTGCATGATAACAATTGCAGAACATTTCATAAGGAATGTGGCAATCTGTTTGACAAGTCCAATGTATGTAGCACAAGGACAATCCCCGTCACAGCTGCATACAACTCATACTTTCTTACTAAACTTCTAGGCAAGAACATGGAATATAAGTACGACAAAGTTGCTAGATGGTTTCAGGATGTCATCATAGCAGACACGGAGTTGATTCTAGCGCCATATCACGATACGAAAAAGAAACACTGGACACTTGTTGTAGCCGACCGTCGACGGAATGTGATAGAGTATTACGATTCAATGGATACGAACATGAAGTTAGCTGAATAGGTGACACGCTACTTCGCGCGATTTTTACTAGAGCGCTCAACGCAGCAGGGCCGACCAATAGACGTATCATGCTTCGAACACACTTTGGAAGTGAAGGGCATTCCGAAATAGGAAGACGCGAGTCAATGCGGAGTGTTCATGCTCACTTATGCATCTCTTCTGGCAAAAGGCAAGGTGCCACCATTCAATTTCGCAATGGACGACATACAGGGCATCAGACGAAGGATCGCAATAGACTCAATAGCTTCGTGATTTGCAAATTTGAAATTGCATCGTATTCGTTCAGTGTTGTCGTAACTGATAATAGTTCAGAGCCTTCGATAGGTTGTGGGTATCCTCTCATATTATTATACACCGAAGAAAACGAAAATGAATTGAAAACCTTTGAAGAAATTCACGAAAGACATTGGGATAATATCATTTGGACTCACACTGCTCGTTGATGATGTATGTTGTATGATGGACTCGTACGGTAGAGGATATAAGGGACCATAGTTGTGGTGTATGACATTTGTTTTATGGGATATGGTATACTAAGAACATGTGATGGTAGCCATCACTACGAAGAAGGAAGTCACTCAAACATAAGTGTGGTTGTGAACTGGGGGTACCATATGATGATGTATATTGTATGATGGACTCTTACGATAGAGGATATACCATACCATAGTTGTGGTGCATGGTCTGTGATAGATGATCCTACCATCTAATGGGATATGGTATACCATCACAATGCGATGGTAGCTATTACTGCAAAAAAGGAAGTTACTCATTTCCACACAAAAACATAGACGAAATTGTCAAAGTTCAATTTCGCGAAAAAAGTAAAAAATGTCAATTTTAACGAAATCTCATTTACGCGGGCGTCGTGAGCCGTGAGATTCTAGATCTCGCGGCCATGAATATTCGTGGCTTCTAAGTGGGGAGTTGATCATGCTCCCACACAGCGTGAAAAGGCTGTTCTTTCGAACTTCGAGACAATAGCCTCGTTCGTTTTTTTTTGTTTTTTTTTTTTTTTATTTACAGTTTTAGGCTTGTTTCGTTTGAACCTTTCCTCGTTTCTTCCCTGCTGGTTGTGCCTCAATGGTCATGAACTGAGAAAGAGAAAACGAAGAGGAATAAAAAAAAAAAAAAAAAAAAAATCAAAAAAACATATCTGGAATGACGTGCTAACGCCCTGAAACGGACGTCTGCACACCCCCATGCCATGGGGGTAGATTCATTCGATTTTGCTCATCCTATAGTGGGGAGTCACGACCAGTGGCTCCCCCCCTTCATTCGTTCTCTCTCTCTCTCTCTCTTTTAGTCGAGGCGACGTACCCCTCCACATTATAGGGGAAGATTCATTCGATTTGCTCAATTTGTTAATGGAAACATTGTGGCCAATTTGCAGGTAGGTGGCCTTTGCCTGTTTGTCTTTTCGACGAACGGCCGTTTCATCAGCTTGTGGAAACAAAAAAGAAGAAGAAAATATAAAAAAATATAAATTAAAAAATCTAAGAGCAAATCTAAAAACAATCAAAAAGGAAAAAGAGAAAACAAAAACGGACTTACCTAAAAATGGCAGCTCGTTTTCAACGGGCGCCTGATGTCTTCCTTGGGGCCTATAGTCCCCAACCACATCTTCAAGCGTCATATGGTATTATCTTCTTTTTTGTTTTTTTTTGTAGAATACGCCAACGGCCACAACAGTCAGTACAACACCTTGTTGGCGCCTTCCCCCTTCCTTTTCAATGCACACACCTTAGTTTGATTCCCGTAAGGGAATCGGAAAAAAAAATTGGCCTTTTCTCGATTTGTGTGTGTCATCTTTGCGTAGGGCCATGCTGCAGCCGTGAAGTTGTTTTCGACCATGAGATATGTCGATCTTGCGACCGAAATTGGCCGCGCTTTATGCATTCAAAATGGGCTGCTCCAAAACGGAGCTAGCCCAAGCAGAGTACCGTGCGGCTCGATCCCAGCATCTGCTAGATGGAAGTTAAGTGCGGTACCTACTGGGCTAGCTCTTATCATGGGAGTTGTATTAGTCGCCCTTCTATTTGAAGGGCTGCAGCTCAGTAGGCCGCCTAACCTAGACCTATATGACGGGCAACTCCAAAAAGAGCTAGCCCAGGCAGGAGATCGTCGGGCTCGATCCCAGCGTCTGCTGGATGAAAGCTAAGTGCGGTACGTACTGGGCTAGCTGTTATTCACGGGAATCATCCCTACCGCTCTTCTATTTGAAGGGTTGAGGCCCAGTAGACCGCCTACTCTAAAGCCTAGGCAGGTGTAACCTGCCTATTCCCTGGTCGGGGCAGATGAAATCTGCCTACCTTATCCAATGGCAGGCCGCCCCGCCATCCAGTCAGTTGCATTTGGTCGAATAACCCAACAATCCACCCCTTTTTATTGTGGATTTTCCCTCGGACCCCTGAAGGTCCGTCCTTTTTTAAAAGACACGGCGTTCTGGCAGTGTTAGCTCTTCTCACTGTCTCCGTGCCCCTGGCGTGACTATATTTTTGATCTTTCTGGTCCTGAATCGCGAGACTTAACAACCGCGCGACCCAATTTTCGTCAAAACAATTTTCTATTTTAGTGTATTCACTGTTGTCTCTTTATCCTGCCCTGTTTTCAACGCAAGAGTGTTCGGTTATACCGTCCACCCTGGTTATATGTTTGTCGGCAGATAGACTGTTTCATAAATTATATTTATGCAATCGTGGACAAGTCGGAATACCTTTTAGCAGTGTTTTCATTTCACTGTCATTTCATCAGACCAAATCTTTTCAAAGCAAAACTTTCTTCAGAATTCGAACATCGTTTGATATTGAAAATACAGGGCAGATACCCTTGGCAGGGTTTTTGTCCTGACAACGTCATCATTAAGTACAGTGTCCACGACACCACTCTCTAAGACGTAAAACCTGTTGGGAGGGACTCCTTCTCTCCCGTCTAGGTATACCGTCACAACTCTTTTCGCTTTAAGTACAAACTCTCTTTCTTGTACTTGATACAGCAACTACCGGCGCCTCCGCCGGCGGCTCCCCAAGCATCTCTTCGCCTAGTGGTATGATTTTTTTCCTAGTAATTGCCTGAAGCTCGTCTCGTGCTGCTCTTGATGTTGCCAAATATTCCGGTAGGGTGGACTTCATTGGTTGTCTCAGCATTCTCCTCAAAGGTTTTAACAGTGTCGACGTCTTCCAACGTGCTTTTCATTGTGAACTTCTTTGGTCCCCTTTTTTTTGGTGATAGCACTCTGTCTTCCTCGTCTATCTTTCCTCTTTCTTTATCCACCATCACCATACCAGTCTCGGGTTTCTTTATAAAAAAAACTTGCGACCTCGTAGAAGCGACCCGGATAGGGGTCCTCGGACTTTCCTCATCCAAGGTAAACACCATCCTGACACTCTTGGCTACTTCCTTACCTCTTTGGGCCTTTGCCTTCCTCGCTTCGACCTTTTCCTTCATCGAAGGAAACATAGATACGTCCCCTCGGGCATCAGCCCACTCGACATACTTCCTATCGTCAAGTACCACTATCCCATCATCAGATGATCATTTACTGCTCTTTGCAAGTCAGAGCAGTCTCTCTTCACATGGTCGTCAGATTTGCAATACACACAGGCGTTCCGAGGTGTCGGCAACCTGTCCTCTAGAAGTCCCATAACGCCTGGAGATCTAGCATCCACATTTGAAATCCTTTAATTGTATCTATTTAGCTTACATACTTACCAGAAGCTCCAGTGAAGATTTTTGCTACAAAAAAAGGTTGAGAGAGAAAACGTTCGATCTTACGAGCTATTGCATCTATTAGACGATCTTCTTCAGGTAATTCATCTAAACCAAAAATAACAATAATGTCTTATAAATCTTCCTTTCTCCGTCCTCTAGACTCATCTCACGATTCTCTGCCACGATCGGATCGGCCCCTGGAGTCATCTCGACTTGCACCGTCTTTATCGCATCTCCCTCTCGAGTCATCTCGACGATCCCTATCCCGGTCGTATCTTCCTCTAGAATCATCGCGACGATCCGTGCCCCTATTGCCTCAGTCGTACCTCCCGTGTGAATCGTCCCGATATCCTCTATTATGGTCATCCCTCTCAAATCTCACCGGAGTATCGTCCAACCGATCTTTATCTTGTCTTCCAACCCGCCTCGTGAATCATCCCGGCGGTCCCTGTCTCTATCTCCCCTCTCGTACCTCCCACGAGAGTAATCCGGATATTCCCTGCGATCTTCCTATCGCAACTACGTTGAGGGTTGCGCTAGTCGTCCCTAGTTCCGTTGCGTTATCGACTCTCCATTCGTCTCTTCAACCCGTTCCTGCCTGCCCCACTTCTATACCTCCTGTTTTCTCTCTCTCTCGTTTTGTATCGTACCAACGTCCACGGGTTTCTGTCCTCCACACCTCTTTATTCCAGATCCCTAAGGTCCCACCTTAAGGAATAAGGAAATGCACCTTCTTTGTCTCGATAGGTGGTGGGCCCGCTCTTGATTTCCATAGTAGCCACCTGCCTAGTGAGACGCTTCATCATTTCTCTCATCTCCATTATCTCTACCATCACATCTCTTTTCTCTTCTGGCTTACTCTCAGTCCACATAACCGGATATCTCCTGTCAGCCCAAGGTTTGCCATCCAGGTCGCGACACTTTTCATAATCGTGATCTTGCCAACTCCCAGTCTGACCTTCTTTCTTATGGATGTCCATCCAAACAAGCTCCTTGTAATCATCTGTCTCGGCTTTGATGTTCATCTGAGGACAGTCCAAAAATCCAGGCGGTCTTGTGGGAGCTCTCTCACGATCCCCTTTTGTTTCTCTTTTGGGAGTCGTGTGATGAAGATCGTACATCGATCCACTTCCGAGAGCTTCACCTTAGCTATGAGCGCCGCCGACATCTTATCGATTCTCTTTCCAAAGGCATGCATGCTCTCTTCCTTTCCTTGTCTTAACATATCCAAGTCCTTTATTGTATATCTTATGTCCTCATTCTTGAAAAGTTGGTACAAAGCTTCCTTGTAGGATCTCCATCTCCTATCCCTTGGCCTGGCGTTACGTACTTCTTTACCTAGAACTGGATCACAGTTAAACAAGAAGTTATCAATAAGTTTGTCTTTCGTCCACTGGCTCTGGAAGCCATGGAGCTCCCACTTCTCTAGGTACTCGGAAATTCCATACCCCCTGAACATCGGTCGTTTGGTGTTTAGGTCATAAGCCACATGTRAAATGTGGCACCTCTCCCGCCACTCGTAAGGCAGCACGTATGATTCTCATATCTCCGGGTCATAGACCCGTCTGGGTGGGGTTTTGTCTCTCATTCGCTCCATGCGTCTCCATTCTTCTCTCTCGCGCATGAAGCCCTCCCTCCAATCTCGGCGGTTATCTCCCCGCAGTTGTTCCAACGAAC